ACATAAGGAATAACCTTATGGAAAAACGATGTATTTTTTTTTTCTATTTTTCTCGTACCAAAAAACCCCCCCTAGACGCAGAGTTAAAACAATTTTTTTTAAATTTGCCTATCACCACGTTCAGGACTCAGGAGGATATATATATATATATATATATATATATATATATATATATATATATATATATATATTTATGTATATTACCTATTTGATCTGGTAATTCCTACCATAACTGTTGCGTGGATAGATGCTAAATGACAAACAAAAGGTTTCGGGTATATCATTCTTTAAGTTACCGAAGGATTTTAGTAGTAAGTTGAAAGGTGAATTTATATCATATTTTTTATTGGATAGGTACTTATAGCAAAAAATAATTAAGTAATAATTTATCTACAAAAGTAATACCTAGGTACAAAAAATAGTTGAAATTTACTTCTTTTTTTTATATCATCTTGCAATACTTGTTCACCTCTATTTCGCTCGTCATTCAATGGGGGGAGGAATTTTATGAATTCCATCTCAGTCTTCACGGGTGACAACGCATCTGCATTTTGATTTTTAATGGAGGATAGATGTAGATGTCTATGGGCCGCAGCAACCACTTACCATCAGGTGGACTGTGGGCTCGTTTGTTACCCTTTTTCAACAGACTTCAAATAAAAGGAAGAGGTTATCAATGCGACAGTTTCTTTTATGTTACCTTAGAACTTTTTTGTAGGTGAACCAATTTTATTTAAAAGCTGGTGCTTGTGTCCCAAGTGTGGTCCCATATAAATTTAATCAAGATCTGACCAGTATTTTTTGAGTTATCCTTAATAATGCGTCAGTTTTACAACAATCACGGTTGTGATTGACGAATAACCTACCGTGTAATGCAGTGATTGACGTCTGCGTGAGCGCGTAATGTACGCCTATCAGTCACCATCCGTTTTTTATAAATCATGATTGATGGAGTTGATGACGCCTGCATGAGCGCGTAATGTACGCCTATCAGTCACCATCCGTTTTTTTATAAATAATGATTGATGGAGTTGATACGCCTGCATGAGCGCGTAATGTACGCCTATCAGTCACCATCCGTTTTTTTATATATAAATAATGATTGATGGAGTTGATTGACGCCTGCATGAGCGCGTAATGTACGCCTATCAGTCACCATCCGTTTTTTATAAATCATGATTGATGGAGTTGACGCCTGCATGAGCGCGTAATGTACGCCTATCACTCACCATCCGTTTTTTATAAATCATGATTGATGGAGTTGATTGACACCTGCATGAGCGCGTAATGTACGCCTATCAGTCACCATCCGTTTTTTATAAATCATGATTGATGGAGTTGATTGACGCCTGCATGAGCGCGTAATGTACGCCTATCAGTCACCATCCGTTTTTTATCAATCATGATTGATGGAGTTGATTGACGCCTGCATGAGCGCGTAATGTACGCCTATCAGTCACCATCCGTTTTTTATCAATCATGATTGATGGAATTGATTGACGCCTGCATGAGCGTGTAAACGCCTATTATGAAGTATGTCAAATAATCATAAATAATTAGTACATAGTATAAGCTTACGTAAGAATATAATGTGCAATTGTGCGATTCCAGGGTTATACTGATTTTTCGTATTTGCTCCATATATTTATTTCATTTTTTTCGTTAATAAATCATTTTTCAAACCAAATTACTTCGTGGGACATTTTTGACCATAGTAATAATAAACAGAAGCCTTTTCAAGCTTAAAAAACGACACTTAAAATTTTAAAGGTCAATGTCTTCGAAACGCGATTTTAGATGTCATCCACCATCTCCATTGGCGAGGACGCCGACCTATATATTTTTTTTATGATATTGTTATAATTACCCATACTAAATATGCATATAGCGCGTATGCTGACACATTTGCAACAACCATTGTGTGGCAAATGCGAGCAACCTAGTGCGGAGCGTCCACGGCTACAGTTTATTTGCTGTCCAACCCTTAATAAATCTAAGAGTAATTTAGCAGAAATACTATTAGTGAAATCAATAATACTTCTGCTAAATTACCCTTATTAGTAATATAGTTATATAAATTAAGGTTTTTTATTCGCTTAGGCTTCATCAACTGTACACTTTTTTACGTAGTAGAGCCACGCTGCAGCTATACTATTTGGTTGCGCGGAAAACCATTCGTATTTATTTATTTTGACGGTAGGCTGCCAAATCGGTTATCCCTTTCCAAAACGATATCATTCATACCCTCCTATCGACACATCGGGGTGGTGGGGTGGGAGGGGAAAGAAGATGATTCTAGAATATCACGTAATCATCGCAACCGAAGGTATAAAAGGCACGCGCGACTGACGCGCAGGCTCTTCCCGCCGCGCTCGTTGTTGGAACCACACCGCTAGTAGAACCGCTTTAGCCTGGAAGCAGTCGAGCTCCAGGAACCCCGCCTCACCTCGTGTGAGATATAGTCGCGCACCGCCTCTCTCCAGAGTGTCTGTCCAGAAGAAGTTCCAGAAGTCGCAGCTATAGTACCCAACAGCATAGAAGAGACACCCTGGTGAGTGAATATTCCTAATATTGCCTGCTTGATATAATTGTGTTTTAACCCGCTCCAATATTGTTTTCTCCTAATCAAGCAGGATTCCTTTCATCGATTTGGCAAATAATAGTTCGTTTTTAGGGAAGAGCGAGTGCATTGTACCGCATGCTATAGTCGCCGTTTATATAAGTGTAGAAACATTTTGTAGATACAGTCCACTTAGATTAATAGCTCGCGTAATAGGTTTTAAGGTTCGACCGGGGAATTAGACTTCGGCAACCTTAGGCTCGACGCTCCACCACTATTGTTGTAGTACGAATCGGCTCGACCGGCGTAAAATAGCAGCTTAGAGCGTAGACGGGTTGCATTTTTTCCGCACAAATGTATTCCCCATTCTCTTCCTGGATAATGCCTCTAGAGTATTCGTTTTTGTTTATAAAAATCTAGGTGTATTGAAGGCATGTTCCTGACGTTAATTATTTTCCAAAATATTATTACTAAAATAAATACGACTTTCCAAAAACTTAAAAAAATGCCCTGTTTTTACCTCCGTAATGAGACAACTACCAAAGAAATTTGAAAGGGTTTTATGATAAAAACAAATAATAGAAGCATGGATCTATTCTTTGTTTATATTTTGGTATCAAAAATAATTTAATCGGCTTAGTTTTCGAGGAGAAAACAGGGGAATACGAATCGTCTATCAGTCATGGTTTTGTAGGTAAAATCGTTCTAAGCTGCAATCGTCTCTATCGCACTCTACGGGGGGGAGACCAGAGGTGAGGGTGGGTTAGACTAATACTACGTAGTACTATTATTTATTCTGTGCTAATACGTACACGATTAGGGAAGTGACCACTGTCAAAGTTTTTATCGATATCATAGTGATGTCAGCCGATATCGACGTTTATCCTATGCTGATTTACACGCGGTACAGAACAGTGAAATTAGATGCTCATATTTAATGGTCGGAGTAGGTAGAGCTCTTTTTGCTACTTGCGACATGCGGACATAACATGGATATGCCAAATAATTCTCGGAATTAAAAAACATTGTTTAAGAAGTTTTTATAGGAGTAGGTAGAGGTATTCGTGTAATAGAAGTTAAGGTTAGACAAAAAAGAAAGTTAAAAAGGCCTACATATTGTATACAAATATTCCAATGGGATAACTTTTTAGCTATCTGATCTCGCTTTGACTTTGCTGTCTTAGTCTTCAGAACAGACACTGGTTTTGGACTAGGCAATTCCTTTGGTTTTTCACTGAATGTCCTTTGTAGTATGTAGATATTATAAAAATAAAAGACACTTGCCCAAATGTGGTAGCTAAATAAAATAAACAGTTTCAAATGTATCCAGTCCGCAAAAAAAAAAAAAAAACAAAATCCGTAAATCCAAGCCAAAGTATTCGTGTCAGTAAGATTCCAAAAACCAGTTAACAAGCCAACGTCAAATAAACTAAGAAACACAATAAATCACACGTGCGCACTCTACAAGCCGAAACAAGGGAGTGAGTGAAGCCCGCTGTACTGTACCTGTATCTGTGTAAGTGAGATTAGCTAATACTTTGGACGTTTTAAGATAGAAAGAGACAAAAAATAAGCGATGAAAACAGCGCGTACTACGGGTTGGCAACATGGAGCATAAACATATAAAAATAAAAGAGACATAAATTGCTTTGTTAGAGAAAGACGGAAAACATTTTCTAAATATTAACTACAAGAAAAATAGTATGTGAGTCAATATTTGATAATCGGTCGAAAACGACTACAAAAAAAAAACTTTTTGTCGTATTTTATACATAATTGATGTCTAAGTAATAGAGCCAAGTTAAATCTATATAATAACTATCAAATCGATACACTTCATTCGATTTTAGGGATTTTTGAGCAATATTTGCAAATATACAGAATAGGAAAATGACACTAGTGGCAGGATAGTGTAATGGACCGACAGACTGATGACAAGACAGCAGGAAAATTATTGAAACAACAAGAAAATGAAAATAATCCATTATTAGTAATTATTATATTCATTATTAATCCAATAATAATAATCAGTATAACAGAAAACAAAATTATATCACTCTTCTTAAAGTTTTATGGAAAATACAATTATATTCAGTAAGTAATATATTTGATCAGATTTATTTAGAACTTTAACTTACTGTATTAATCAACATATATAAAACATCACGCCTCTTTCCTTGTACCTTTATTTTATATTCTACCTGTATTCAATAATCAACAAATAAGTAATATTCTTTCATTTAAGAGTAATTATGAATAGCTAAGTCAAATACCGAATTTTTAAGAAGAATGTATCATTCTATAATAATATAATTAGTTTAAACATTTCAACTTTTATAATAGTAAAAAAAATAAACAAAAATAATGTTTTTCATTTTTAAAAGTAACAAAAAAACATTAAAAATAGTTTATAGAACAAGAGGAAGACATAACAACAAAGCTATTTCTCGAATACATCTAAAGCATTTGGGAACTTATAAAAAATACGTTCTCCTTTGAGTAATAAAGAAGGTTGAGGTAACTTTAGAAGTATATCTTCAACTGGCAGATCATACCAATTATCATCAATTTTAAATAGTTTACCATCATTACCAGTGGTTTTTAAAAATGTAACTCTAATTTTGCCATCTTCTTCATCTACTTCTCCCATACACACAGCAACATATCTATATTCTGTATTTTTAGAGCTACATTTAACAAGAATATAGTCGCCATTGTGATAAGTTACATTTTCTTTTCTTAGAATGTTAGATGAGCTAGTTGTCTCAACGTGATCTTCAACAGCATCAAAATTTATACTTGAAGTATTTGGATCGATGTTTTCTTTGGGTGTTTGAATTTCGCGTTCATTCTCTGACTCTGAACTTGTGTAAGTGTGTTTAGCCTTTTTAGCATTGACCATTTATAATTATTATATATTTTAGCCTATCAAATAATAATTATCACAAAAGCAACTCAAGTATTTCATTATTAATTTGAAGCTATCTTTATTACCGATTACTTGATGGACTTTTAAAGTTCCCGCATAAGGCTTAGATGACTTTCCAATCAATTTAATTTGAGAATGTTCATAATCTTGTTGCGTCACTGTTATAATTTTAATGTTGGGACAGTTTTCTTCTAGAACCGTTTGTAATTTTTTTATATCGACTAAGTCCAGCTCCAACACCATCAGAGGCACCCTTTCCGTGCCCAGCCTCACTATAGTTTCAAGAGAAGAAAGTGTAATTTTCATAAAAATATTTAAGTCTGTTTGCAAGAATAAAGAACATGAACCGATTCCTATACTGGGTAACGGGCCCATCGCTAAGAAAACGAAAATTTTTTACAAATTTTAAATTTGTGGAAATCCAATCAAATATAAGGTGAAGGTGAGCCCATATGGCATAAGCATCATGATCTAAGAACTCAGAAATAGTACAGAAACTTTGGCACTCTAATTGATTGTTTGTTTTCCAGTACACAACACCTCTGTGTTGTGTACTGGAAAATATTTGACTTCTCGAACCTCCAAAGTCCAAAGTGAAAAGCTTGCACTTCTGAACTATATTTTGTAGCGTAGTTCTCACTAAAATCAACAAGAATAAGTTCATCATTTACAGACATATTATCTTTAAGTTTCTTTATGGCAGCATACTGATGAACAATATTTGTATGATGGTTTAAGAAGATGAGGACAACATTTTCTAATTGTTTGACAACATCGTAGGGGTTCAAGGTGTGATTAACTTTCGATATTTTCTTGACGCTTTTGTAATTCCCGGTTCGTTTTAAAAATACCTGTTCACATACATTTTCCCACTTCATAACATTAATTTTGATATTATTGTCGAATTCTCCGTAAACTATTTTTTGATCTTTACAATTCTTACATTTGCGACTTGTACACTCTTCATTGTATTTGTCACAGCAAACTGCTTCCAAAAAATGTTCAGTGCTGTGTACAGTTAATATATTGTACTGATGTAAAGATTGAATTAATAGGTCGAAATTTGCATGTATCATACACAAACAAGTATTACGTTCCTGTACATAACAATCCAAAACGGACGACATTGGCAAAACGCACTGTAAGATATATTTCCATTTTCTTTAACATATATTGTACGTAGCTTCTTCATAGTCATTAATAAGTACCTTTTCTGTTTCTTTACTTTTTTCTTTGTTACAGTTTCTTTTTTTCCAGCACACATATGACTGTTGCAATCTTGTTCCAAGAAATTGATGATATTCAATTTCACATCTTCTGAAATTCTATTAGATCTGTTTTTCCTCTGTATATTTAATAATTTTGATTCCAATTGCACTTTACGCTCTCTTTTTTCAGATAGAACATATTGTTTGGACAGGACTTTATACTTCTTAACTACATCTCCAGAAATAGCTTTGGCAACTACCTGTTTTTCAGAATGACTTCCAAGTTTGATATAATTTTGAGATAGCTGCTTTGACATAACTTCACTGAATAACAGTCTCTTCTTTATTTCGGTTATATCCCCCCCTTTTTAATAATTTCGTTGGTTTTGTTTCTCGGACTGTCTTTTTTGCACTGTATCTTCATCTTAGAAATAATTCTTTGGTGTTTTTTTAGTTGGTTCTTTAACTTATTTATAATTCTGCCCTGTTCTTGTAACAGTACGATTTTTTTTCCGTTTATTTATTTCTGATCTCCTACGGCCTTATATTATTCGTCCATCTAAAACTGGTAACTCTTGGGGTACGACTGGAATTATGTTCTCATCATTCATAGAGACTTCATTATCGGATTATGGTGGAGTTGTATTTTCTTGAAATAAAGCAGTGTTTGCCAAAAGATTTTTTTTCTTTTCCCTATAGTTTGCTATATTTTTCGCCATTCTTTTCTTTTGGCTCTTTTACACCGAGGAGTTAAGTCAGCAATGTTTTTAATTTTACCCTCCGCTTTTCTTTTTAAATAGTATTCTGTCTTCTTTTGTTTCAATGCGTTTCTTTGTTCATTATCGTTCTTGATTCGTTGGTATCTCATTTTCTCCAATTCTCGCTTTCTTTCTAACACTTCTTCTGGGGGCTTTTTTCTTTGGAGCCATAATTATTGCACACTGAAACAAAATTACAATAAATTAATAACATTACTTACCTTGTGTTGTCATTTTCCTGCCACGGAGTCATTTTCCTGTCAAGAAAATAACAGGAAAATGACCACAGGAAAAATGACAAAAATGCACATTATATTTCTCATACATTCTAATAACTAATATAACAGCAAAATCGTCAGGTGATACGAATTATATCTTAATTCGTGAAAGTTTATTACAAAAAGCAGAATAATTTACTTACGATTCACCTCCTAATTGCCTCTAAATGACAAAGTGTATCAACTATACGCACGCACATGCCACAATCAGTTTGCAACGCCAAAGCAACGGCCGACACCGCGTCTCTCTTCTCACCAATCACAAACATGGATACCGCGTCTATTTAGAATGCGCTCATTCGTTATCCGCGAAATTATAAAACGCGGTAAATTCAAATTTAAATTTCGGCAGCCTAATGACGCCGTGACCGTTCGCTTAGATTTTTTATGATTTTTTTTTTAGTTTAATATCATATTATCTTAAATAAAATATTGAACAGTTTTAGATTAATGTGCATGCAACGTAAGTTTAATCAAGCTTTTGTAATTTATTTTTAATCTCCATGTTATTATTAAAAAATGCCACCAAAAAGGAAAATTCCACCGACAGGAAATATGACATCTAGCACTATTTGTTTATTTTTACTATATGAAAACCAAATATATACTCACCAAAGTGTTTCGATATGTAAACAAAGTATTGCACTACATTACGAAAATACTATTAAGTTTAAATATTACATTAAAGTTACAAAATAGTTATGGGGACCTGTTTTGGCCAATTATCAAATATTGACCCATGTATAGTTAATTAAAAAAGTGATCAATAAAATCTATTTAAATAAAAAAACTCTGTTTAAATAAAAAAAATATAAAACTCTTTACATCCTTTTTTTTATTCTGTATTGTGTAAGCATTTAATATTTCCTTGTGCAGTAAAGTATATTTAGTATTGTTTCTAACGGTTTTACTTAATTAATTAATATTACACGAAGCTACCTCTAACAACATTCCAAGATACCTGTGTGTGTGTGTGTGTATATAAGTAAGCATATACTGTTTGGCTCACCTACTACCTGCGCATATTAACTTACTTAAATCAATCGACAATTTCAAAATCCCGGGATTTCAGAGGCATATCCGTGTTAACGTCAATGTTTGCGGTCATTCACCCCAAACAGCTCCACATACTCCGACCACTGCTCATATTGTATTTTTCTAGAGACAACGAAATAACAGTTCAATGATATTTAAGGAGTTTACAACTAACGATTACTATTATTTGAAATGAACTTTAGCGAAGTGTCTCTTGAAAAAACACAAACCGTAACCAAATAAGACGGAACTAATGTTCGCACTCCACTGCTTGGTGTGATAATTCTGTTTACTTGATTTCCCTGCTTTACTGGGGAGTTTATGAAATAATTACTGCTCTTATCAAGTAAATTCTATTATAATTTACGTGATAAGAGCATTTATGTGGCAGAACAGGTGCTTGTGGATATTTTAAATAATACAAAAGTTATATAATAATTAATATTTACATTTATTCTGTCGTCATTTCCATCCTTTCTCTTACAGGTAAATTTCGTAGTATCCGACCGTCAATTGTTTCAGGGTGAATGTATTCATGGATTTTTTTCTAATTTTAGTTCTATGTTTTGCCAAAATTCGTCGTCTTTTTCAATTTTTTCATATAATAAACCCTTGGGGATCTACAAAACAACATAACATAATAATCGGCATGTGATGTGCAATTGGCCTCGTACTTGATAATAGTAGTTGTGATTTCTTTTTAATTTTAACCTGTTGAGTTTGCGGGTGGCGATTTTTTTATTTTCTATTCCTTTTGTTGGAGTTATCTCAGCAATGTTATTACGGGCATTTTATTTCAATAATTGAGTTATCGGCTCTCTCTGAAAATTGTATTCAATGATGTTGAAGAATTTTCTGTCTTTATCGCTGTAAATACAAAAAATTCATTATTTTTTAGCTAAGCGGTAATATAATTTTCGGTATGATTACAGTTTAAAGTTTTCATTATAACATGATAAAAAACCTAAGAAAGACACTTGAGGTCGCAAACCCTTGTTTACAAGTAATGATGATTGCATTTCATGTGCCTGTTAAAAGTTTTTTTTAATCTTAGATAGACTACTGATGGAACATCAGCCGTAAACCTACTTTAAAACTAATTCCACTGAACTCCCTTTTCCATGTAAGCTCCATAACGCAAAAATACTATGTCTTTTGAATATAGTTTACATTGTATTTTCCATCACAAAATGAAACCACACATGTGTCTAGCACAAGCAAAAATGTATAAAACAAGTAAAAGCCCTTTAACCGATGGCAACCCCGGTCGGAAGGTGAATTTCAGTTATATAGTGTTATAATATTTGATCGAAATAGAGATACGCATTATATATATGCATATTGTAATTTGACATAAATGCATATTACAAACGTCCACAATAGGTGGTATTTCATCCGCTCAGATGGGTATGGGATAAACCACGTGCGAAACAAAGATACTAGGCATTGTTATTACCTCTTCCATATTGTCATCGCCTTATGATAAGTACCATCTGGAGTAGAATCCAACCATGCTATTCAAAATTGACCATCTCACGCCCCTTTGACCATAATAGATATGAAAATTTAATAACTTGGATGGTAGTGGTACTGTACACAATGCAAAATTGATCTTCCGTTTTATATGTAAATGATGTTTTTTTCTCTTAGCACTCAAGAATAAACGCGTTTTATTGCAGTTTCTTCCACCCATTAGTAATGAAAAAGAGTTTACCCGAAACAAAAATTATTAATTGACATTATATCAAACAAAATTCTACTTTCAAGTAGTGTTTTATTATTGAATTTCTTTTGTCGGTTTCAAGGGGTTAACAGATTAATGATGAAATTTGTTACAAATAAAATAATACACACGATTTTTCTCCAGTTGTTGAAACGAAAAGGTATTTAAATCCGATCCACAAGCCGAGTCAAAACAGTAAAGCAAAGAAACAAGTCGGTAAGCAATACAGATACAGACTATTCACTCACACATTGACAACTAGGGTAGGTTGCTCGGGCGCAGCGCGACGGCAATAGTTTCTTCAAATACCTATTTCTCAATTCCCGCGCAGACCGACTACGCTCTTAATGCCGCTGTGTTTCGTTTGCTGAGTGTAGAGAACCGGAGATCTTTTTTACTGGAAAGGAGGCATTTCATCTTAGTCCTCAGGGGTGACAGCGCATCTGCATTTTGATTAATGTAAATGTCTATGTGACACAGCATCCACTTGCCATTAGTGTGGGTGTGTGTGTGTGTCTGTGGACTGTGTGCTCGTTTGTCACTCCTTTTCTATAAAATAAACCGTTGAATTAAGCTGCCGTCAAAATATCCCAATAACGCCTTATAATACATTTCGTATATTGTGAAGACTTTTGTGAATAAAATACGCATGCGATTAGCCTGTACAGTTGAATACCTTAGCCTACTGTAATTGGCAAATAGTAACAACAACAATTGACATATTTGATTTGACAATTGACGTTCAATTTTTGAGTCAAGTCAAACCTTCATCAGTCTTTACTCCAAACTAATTTTACGTAAAACTTGTGTTCTATTTCTAAACAACTTTTAAGTGATCATTTCTTTGCGGTGTTTAAATTTGTAAAACCAATATAAATACCAGAAAGAAATGAATAGCTCGATATTAAAACTTGCGCAGGTAATGTATCATTCTATTATTCCAACTTACCTTTAGATTTTTGATATGTATTTAATTATTTGTTATATTTATTCAGATTTGCTCTACGGGACAAATAAATCAACTGCCAACAGTATTAGCATCACAACTTCACACATCAACTCCACTATGTCGAGTTGTTTCTGGCAAATACAGGATCACTAAAAAGAAGGACCGTCCACTGACCTATGAAATGGCTAACCCTCCTCATTTTATAGCTCACCGCAAGTCCTGGAACTCGTGGAACACGTGTAAGTTTCATAACATAAAATGTATTAACTTTTTAGCCTTCCTTGAAAAGTAATATATGCTAAACACAATTTGGATATGGTGAGGACTGCTAGTATGGAACACATATAGAATACAGCATGCACTTGTTAATTTTTTTACTTTAAGCCAGTGCCTTTTTGCAATCCCACCTGGATAGTGGCGATATAGCTCAAAATGGTAAAGCATTCAGCCTTAACTAAGGCTAAAACCTTGTTTATTCCTGCCTTAAATATAACCATATTGTATATATTATTGTATATTAATATTTTTTTATAAAAAGAGTATTAACAATGCTATAAACATTACTGATATTCCCCTTAACCATATAACCATATTGTATATCTTATTGTATATTAATATTTTCTATGTTTGCTTTATGCATAAAATTATTTATTTATTTAAAAGTTTATGTACACACATCTTCGATAGGATAATGATAAAAACATAATTACGTACAAAGGCACTGCTTACTCCATAATGAAATTTCTTCCAGCAGGCCTATTGAAGAATAGTTGAAAGAAATAGGTCAAAGTGTGCACTTTATTAAAATATACATATCTATCTCAACATATTTTTTTATAAATATATATATATATATATATAATTTTATGTTACATATATGAATACCTTTTTTATTTTTTTTAGTGTATAAAATTTTTTAAAAACACGACATCAGAATTGTTCATTAATTAATATACTAAAACAAATCAATTAGTGTTGTTATATAACATTAAATATATATATTTAATGTAGATAAATACAATATAAAAAAATTTCAAGTTTTCAAAGTGTGACGTACACCGCAGCGTCGCAATGACCGCTCTTGCTCCTCGCCGCTGACGCATACTGCGATGGAACAAGAGACCATTCTAGACGTTTTTCATACGATTATGTGTCTGGCACTGCGTGCCGCATACCGCAGCATTGGGCTTTACGATCAAGAGACCAAAGCTTTACTTGGATTTGGATTATACCAGATAAACAATATTCTCAGAATATTATGTCAATAGTGGACTTATTAAACATAAAGTTTGAAATGCATAGCTCTTACACTGTAGATTTTATTTATATATAAAAATTGCCAATTTCATCACATCACACTGAAAGGGAAAATTTGGTATGTAAGCTAATATTAGTACAAAAACAACAAAAAAATTATGAAACTTGGAACTTTTACCCTCCAAGTCCTTTAACTAGGGGATGGAAGTTTGTGTGAAACTTCCGCAATTTTTGATGCTAGATATCTGAAAATATAGACTCCTTGTTACTCCTTGTTATAAATAATAATAATTATAGAAATGTTTGTGGACTTTTAGGAAATCACCTTCCTTTAAATTATGGTATGGAAGTTTGTATATAGGTTTTCCCATACAAGGTTAATTTCATGCTAGTACACAGACTTTTTATTACAAATTAAAAATATAAATATTGACTTTAGTAGTATTAAAGCACAACAGTCAGTTGTATTCGAATATATTTTCCTAATAGCCAAGTATCACCCTGATCTCTTGATTATTACAAACAGTAATGAAGAAAAAAGGCAATAAAAAATATTGTCATAACTCAAGAGTCCAAGCCGCGTGAGTGATCTCGCCCCACCTGTCCACATATTAAATGTCCCTTTCTTTGTTATGACCTTGCGAGACACTCAACAAAAACGATACTACTGAGAAACTAATATAGTTACATTCAAATAAAAGATTCACGAAAAGCTCAATAAATTTATAATTTAATTTTGATACAACAAAATTGCTAGAATTAAAAATAAAGTATGAAAAAATTTGGGAATATCAAAAAAATTATTGTATTTATTTTTTATTCCCAGTTTTACAAGAAAAGTATAATAGTTACTGGAGACAATTATTTTATATTACAATAGTACATGATACACCCTTTAAAATAACACTAATATGTATTTTATATATTATTTACTTAGTATAGATAAATATATGATATTGACTCAATATAAATATTCGTTCCCCAATGCAATCATGAATAGCACTAGTTGCATTTTAATCATTTCTAGACATATCTCAACATATTTCTTTTATATAGGGCTATTAACATATTAATAGTGAAGCATTCTTTTATACTTAGCAATTATTTTATAAAAACAACCGATTAGAATACATTTTAAACAATGTATAATCAAAAAATGATGATTGTGTAGTGTTTAAAATTTCAAGTAAAATGACTATAGTCACCTTGGACAGCTAATGCAAGAACTTTTGTGGGGACCACAGTCACCGTGAATGCTTTAGTGGATAAGAGAATTACAAAAAGATTTAATTATATTAATACCATGTTAGTGAAACGCTCCTGAAAACGAAGACAAACAAAGAATATCTTTGATGAGAAAAAAGAAACTCATTCCTGATAAAAAAAAACTTTTACGTTTACTTAGCTTTTTTCGTGCTCTATCATGATAGTACAGCTAAATGAAATGATAATTTCATAAAAAAATCATGAAGCTACCTTTTCAGTAGCGTTTTAAAAACACTGGTATATTGATTTAATAAGAAACATTTTCATGTAAAATCGAATCCAAGAGGAGACCTTATGGCTCGCACTGTCAAAAAGTTATCAGATCTCATGTACAGCGAAGCTTCTAACTCTACACGCCCTAACTCTACAATTTGTGTACTCTCTCTATATATCTCTCTCTCTCTCTCTCTGTACTTGTACAGCAATATTGACCGAGTGGTAATAGAATAATAAGTGAAATTATATATTTGTTTAACAGCAAGTTTGAAAGATGGGCTACGTCGATCAGAGACGGCTGTTGAAGATGAGTTCATTAGAAGGTTTATGAATGGCACATGGCATGGACTTGTCTGCAGTGAAGTAAGTTTCTTTGTAATTATCATGTTCTTTAATAATACTACATATATTACTAAGACTATAGAAGTATACAATAACTCCTTTATTTTTTTTAGGTAATAATAAAAAGGCAGTTCAATCATATACGAGTTGCTGCTATAATCAGAAGGGCAGTGTCTCCTATAAAAATGTATTTCCTTCTTGGATACAGTGAAGAACTCCTATCCAATTGGATCCAATGTCCTGTAACCTTAGAACTACAAACTGTGGATAGTTTCAAAGATGTTGTGTTTAAATATATTTAAAATTAGTTGTTATTTGATATTGTGAAAAGATTAGGTTGAAAGTCATAGTTTTATTGTTTTATTATAAATATTTTAAAAAATGTTTTTTTTAACATTATCTATTAAGAATGATATTATTCTACCTTACTTCCGACACCATGATTAATTGCAAATTGCATATGGTGTAACAAATGAAAACCAGAGTAATTTAACCACGTCAAGAACATACAAAATATTGAGAATTATTCAATATAGTATTGTGCAAATACTAATATGACAATCAGTGGCGAAGCTAGAGCTCCAAGCTAGGGCAAGCCCAAGATATAAATTGATAAAAATATAGATTGTTGTTTTTAGCAGTTTTATAAAAATACACCAATCTTGATCTGTCTCCACGCTTCAGTTTCATATTCAGTGCTGTCAAGGACGTGTTTAATAAAGCACACAGAAGGCATACCACTGCTAGATAGATTGTATTACATATCAGCAATTGGATAGCTTCGGTGGCTTTGAAGAAAGCCGTTTGGGTTTGTTTAAGCGAAAGAAAAAAAATATTTACATCCAATACAATACATGAACAAAAGTAAAACACGAACAAAGTACAAACAAACTATGTACAAAATTAAAAAAAACAACAAATTATTTATTTTATTTATTTATTTAATCTTCATTATACACCTTATATACCTACTAAGGGATATAAAGGGCGGACTTAATGCCTTATGGCATTCTCTGCCAGTCAACCCTGGATGATTTGAGAAACTGTGGCAATTGTAATCAATCACTTCATAAAAAAAAATAAAACAAAATAAAATGCAAATGAATAGAATAGATATATAGTTAGTAAAATATACATACTTTCTTAATATATAATATAGGATAAATAATAAATATATAAACGGGTACTTCTATACAAAACTATAAGTAAATAAAATATTATAAGACAAAAATAAAATAACACAATACATATTAAAATACATTATACAAAATATTACTTATAAAGTGAAAGAAAAAAAAACACAAAAACAATAGTCGAATAGTCAGGTGGTATTATTCTTACGACAGAATTCTCGAACTAGTCTTTTAAAATAATTCTTTATTAGTTTTCTTGATATAAGCAGGCAAGGCATTCCAGAGCAGTATAGACTGCACAGTAAAAGAGGAATTAAAGAAACCACTCCTATGTGGTGGAATACGAATTTTAAGACAATTTTGGGAACGGGGAACTCTATCGTTAGTAGAATACTAATATTGAAAGTTATCCTTAAGATAAGAGGGAGAATTGGGGTCATTTAAAATTGAATGTAGTACTTGCAAAGTTCGGGAGCTACGCCTTTGACGAATAGATAGCCATTTAAGCTTAGATCGTTACTGGGAAATATGGTCATACTTACGTAAGCCGAAAATGAATCTAATGCAATTGTTGAGAAGGCGCTCCAAATTATCGAGAAGATATTGAGATAGATCTGGGTAACACACATCCGCATAATCAATAATGGGTAATATCAAAGTCTGGATTAGCAGAAGCTTGGTTTTAAAAGGCAGAAAGTTTTTGAGACGGCAAAGAGAACGTAAGGTGGCAGTTACTTTACGGCTTGTTTCGGCAACTTGAACTTCCCAGCTTAAGGTATGGTCTATATGTAAGCCAAGATTTTTGACAGACTTACAAAATGGCAACCGTGCCATTGTAAAATACGGGAGCAAGGTTATCGTTATTAATCTTAGCTAACATTCTGCTACTACCTATAACCATTGCTTTGCATTTGGTTGGGTTAACCAAAACACCATGTCTGTACGACCAAGCTCTAATGGCATCGAGGTTGTGGTTGAGTTTATGAATATTATCATTAAGGTCTTTAACACTAGATTGCACATAGAGCTGAAGATCATCTGCATACAGATGGTACGAACAGTTGAGAACTGAAGTGATAGAATTCATGAATAAAGAAAACATTAAAGGAGAAAGTATTCCGCCTTGCGGCACGCCTGTTTCAATGTCAACCCATCTTGAGAACTCTTGTCCTAATCGTACTGATTGCTGGCGGCCGCGAAGATAGGATGAAAACCATTCCAAAGCTGGGATTGAGAATGTAAGATTAGTTAGGAAGACTATAAGGATATCGTGGTCGACTGTGTTAAAAGCATTTGAAAAGTCAACAAGCACTACCACCGTAAGCTTTTGCTCATCCATTCCCATTCTAATATCATCTGTAACTTTTATCAATGCAGTGGTAGTACTGTGACCTGCACGAAAGCCTGACTGATATTTATTCAGCAGATTGTGTTTGGTTATGAACATAGAGATTTGCTTGTGAACACAGGCTTCCAGAACTTTAGATAGGTATGGCAATATTGAAATTTGTCGGGAATGGGTAGGTAATGAGGGATTAGGTATTTTAGGATGTGGTCGCACAAATGCTTTTTTCCACTGAGTAGGATATTGACCTGAGTCAAGGGAATAGTTTGATATGTATGATTGCAGGCAAAAGGCACTCAAGGATCATGGATACCATAACCTTACTAACCTCATTGCAATCCACAGCCTTGGACTTAATAGCTAGTACAGATTTGTGTATCTCATCCTCAGTCACAGGTAAGAATGGTATTTGTATAAGGGGGTTATTGGTGGGGGGTTGTTGTTGGGGTGGTGGATTTTGTGGGTTGTTTGGGAGGGGGGTTTTTTTTTTTTTTTTTTTTTTTTTTGTGGGGTGGTTTTTATTTTATTAAATTTTTTTTTTTTTTTTATTATAAAAAATTTTTATGTTGTTTTTTTTTTTTATTTATTTACAGGTTTTTGGTTGTGGTGTGGGTTTGGGGGGAGTGGGTTAATTTGGGGTGATAGAAGATAGGGTGGGGGGTGGGGGGGAGCGGGTGGTGGTGGTGGGTGGTTGGTGGGGGGGGGGTGATAGGGCCCGAAATTTTTGAGAACGAGAAGAATTTCTCAACAAATCAGTAATGAAATCACCCATTATTATGCAGTGCGTGTACTCAGATGAAGTGGAAGTGAGGGCGCTTTCAAGAGCGTCGAAAAAATTAACAGCAGGTGGACAGTATACTACCCCAAGAATTGCCTTTACACCCTTTGATATCAATTTCCAGAAACAGAAACTCCGGTGAGGCAGAATACGCAGATGGAGAAGCTAAAATTATTTTATAAGGGATGTTTGCTCTAAGGTATATGGCAACACCACCTCGTCCTTTTTCAATTCGGTCGTTACGCACAAGAACAAAATCATTTAGAGGATATAAGCTGGACATTAATGATGGCTTTAGCCAACTTTCTGATACTAAGATTGCATGAACACAGTCTATAGAAAAAACTTCTTCAAATTAAAAATAATGACTTGGAATGCTTTGAGCATTGGCATGACATATATTAAGCAAGTTTTTACAAGGAGTAAATAAATTGATCAGCTCATCGCGGAGGGAGGGCATACTATCACTACCATCAAAAGACTCGAACGAGATATCTGAATCATGGGCAGAATAAAAAGATTCATTATTCGACATATCTAACATTAATAATAGAGATATAAGAATAATAAATTTTAAATAAATAAAAAATATAATATAATAATATGTTATTAGATAATATAATAATATGTTATTATTGTTAGACTAACTACAAAATACGACTCAATACATATTATACATCACCCAACAGTTGACTGATTGCAAAGGAATATGTATAGTTTACAATGATAATAAGAATTTAAAAAAAAAGCAATTAACACTAACCTACTTGATCAAAGCATAATAAGACAAAAGTTTACTGTTAGTTGATCACTAAGTTAGTCACTTAATTAACGAGATAACTTAATGGATACTATTTGACGACAAAATTCACCAAAACAAACAGTAACGCAAAAAGAACATATTTTTAACAGTGTGATACAAAAGAACTTAAATTTTGCTAACATAGCAGCAAGAAGGTACCACACAAAAACAAAGGAATACGATTAAGTTTCGAAATACAAGATTAATAATGTACAATTAGTTTTCAAACACAGCTTATTCTATCCTTTATACAAAAGCTTACTCCATAAACATAGTGATTATATATACTCTTTGTGTCGAACTGTCACTATTAGATTATCCGCTGTAAGTTTGTTTTATAATCAAGCAAATAATGTAAATAATACAATTACCGTCAACAAATGATAACAAATAATGACAACAAACAAATGGAAAACCAAACAAAAAATAAAAAATAAAATACAATAAAAAGAACTAAAGATAGAATACAAACTGCCGATTACAGAGGAATGACTTGTCTACGCCTGGACCCACCTTGCTGAGAACTGGTTTCTAATGGGCTTTTCTGCGACGGAAGGAGAATTAGGCTTTGGCCATTTAGTAAGAAGGATATCAAACTCTTCCTCAGTGGAAATTTTTATGCGGCTACTATCAGGAAGCCTAATGGTTCCATCAAGAGTCCAAACATTCTTCATGCCGAAATGTCGGCGTGCCTTCTTATATGTACTCTGTCTCATTTTAGTGAGAAACTCCGATACTTTGTATGGTGTATTCTTTAATTTTGCCTTAGATCTCCAGACTTCAGATTTAGTATCATAACTTTGGAAATGAACAAGTACAGCTCTTGTCCGATCACTGCCCGGAGCTCCCAATCGATGACAGCGTTTCAAGGAAGAGTTGCTTATATGTGAAAGGCCCAATTTATTATGAACAATTTTTAAATTCCTGAAGAGTATGGATTAAATGTAGAACAGGAGGTACTTGCAACCTCCTGTTCTACATTTAATCCATACTCTTCAGGAATACCATTAAAAAGTAGTACCTTACGCCTTTGTCGCATATCTATTGCATCAACTGCATTAGTACACCTCCGAAATTGTTGCTGCAGAAGACAAAACATGTTGCTCACTCACAAGTCTTTAAAAGCATAAAATTCCTCACTTAGCTGAACCAAGGTTGGATTTGATGGGACTAAAGCAGCTTTTAAGCGTTTCTCAAACTCTGACATCTTTTGCATCCAATCAACTTCAAGTTCCTTCTGCACC